CAGACACACAAATATACACACACAGACAAACAGAAAACCAAACATACACAAACAGGCAAGCATGTAGGCATACAAATGCATGCAGTCATACAGACATACAGACACACAGACGCAGAGGAAAGTAGCCAGACAAGGAAGTGGTTTTACCTTCAACTCAATTTTCTCTCTTTCCAGTTTGTCTCGGGTTTCTTCCAATGCACGTTTTTCTTTTTCCCAACGAGCTTCGGACTCTGCTGATTGGATGGTCACCTCCTGAAGCGATCGACGGCAGTTGGCGATCAACATCTTGCGTTCTTCTTGCTATAGAAAATTGATAAAAAATGAAACTATACAAACGAATAGTGAAACTTGATGTATGGGAGCAGAATGTGAATTAGATCAATTAACTCTGGCATTAACTGTTTCGGAAAGAATGTATTCATCTCATTATCCTTACAACGTCGCGCTCCTTAGGCTCTTAATGAATGAAGGCATAAAGCGTCAAATTGATCACTCCGTGAGTGTAGATGCATCAATGCAAACAGGTACTACTTCCTCAAATAAGCCAAAAGTATTTGATACAGTAAAGCAAAGTGCCGATCTCTGTCCTGGTTCGTAAAAATTGCAGATAACCCAAACAAAAGGCGTCCACAAACAATGTTCCTTCTCGGCAAATGGCTCGAAAGTGCCTTAAAACGAAAGGTTACACCCGTTACCATGACAATTTCGATACTAGCATGTGAAAGATTGTTTGTGGTGTGGCATAGCGACATGCTAACGGGGCTGTGGTGCCCGCGGTAACAAGATTCTGCAATGTTCTGATCACCTCTTTTGCCTTTGACTCCAAACTGACGCGCTCGGCTAACCAGGCCTCCTGTTCCACTTCATACTGCTCCTTCAACGAACGGTATCGACGCTGATAGTCAAGCATGTTGTTGTTAATTGTTTCATTTTGCATCTTCACCTCAAGGCAGAATCGGTTCAGCCGAGTTACATGATCGTTGAGTAAGTTCAGTTTGGTTGTTGTCTGCTGAACGGCAATGGCTCGGGCATATGCATCTCCTGTTGGCAGCCCAATGTTTATCAGACTGCCAGTGCTGCCGCTGGTGTCCTGAATCAGTAAGTGGGGTGAAAATGGAAAAGTACATCGTTTGTAGGTAAAAGCAATTCCGGGCGAATAGTTGTTCTTTCTGAGATTGATTACACTAACTATCAATTATAATGTTTTTAATTATATACGCAACTGAAAAGGCATCAATATTACACAATTTTGCTCTCCTCTTTTATCAGTACAGCCTGTGATTTTGACAATTTAACCCCTACGCCACATTGCCATGAGTGCTCTTAGGCTATGGGGCATATGTGAATTTCAAGGATCACATTCTTTGGTGGGATTTTCGATGAAGCAAAGTTGTATTTGATATAAAAATGGACGATCAAGCAACTCAGAGTCCTGCATCACCTTAAAATAAATAGGGTGAATACATCTCACGTAACTGACTTACTGGTAGTCTCGAAACATAAAGACAGACAGACAGATAGACAAACAGAGAGACAGTAGAGAGCTTATATCGGAGATATATTTACACTATTAGTAACTGCATTTTCCCACAATCACATAGAAAGGTCTCACGTTTTTACTGAAGTCAATATAGCTTGAATAGCTACATGGCAAAATATCACATTTCTGAGGTGAAGTTTTCGACAAAGCAATTTACTGTACCTTTTTTCAAGGAGGCTTTTGAGACTAACAGTTCGTCTGTCATAAGAGCTATCTTCAGCCTTGTTCTTAAGGCGATAAAGTACTGGCAGATGAAGTTTACAACAATACTATGAATATGGTAGTTGAATTTACCTACAATTATATGAATATAACTGAGCATTTCACACAGCCTTACTTTCCCAAAAGGTATTCCCATCCAATGTCGACTGGAGTTTCAGTCTAGCCTAGGTCTTATGTGAAGTTGAATGGGAACCTAACTGTCTTCATCACATTA